GAATGCATCTCGGAGCGAAGCATTCAAGACAGCAAGGAAACACTCGTCGTTACAAGGTCTCGAGCAGCGGCACGCGACCGTGGCGAACCAGAGATCGAACCGCCACCCAACAAACGAAGAAAGTCTAAGGGATCAAGTACATCTAACAAGGAACCCGTTGTCCTAGCTGAAGAAATGATTCCAGAAACGATGTTAGAAACCGAGCCATTACTCGAGGAGAATATTCTTGAGCCAAACGAACATCCCGAACCAGAGCCGCGGATATTTCACAAAGTTGATCAAATTCCGGCTAAAGACTGGGGGGCTGACTGGAGGGAGCCAATAAAGCACTATATCATGACAGGTGAGCTCCCAAAGAATAAATGGCAGGCCAGGAAAATGAAAGTCGTTAGCGCGAAATTTTGTCTGTCGAAGGATGCGTTATATAGACGAGGTGTCAGTGACCCTTACCTATTATGCATTTTTGGGCCCGAAGTCGAAATCGTCATGAGCGAAGTGCATGAAGGATTATGTGGGAGTCATTCATCAGGAAGAGCTATGGCTTTTAAAGTTAAAAGAATGGGGTATTTTTGGCCCACTATGATCACAGATTGTGTTAAGTTCGCCCAAAGATGCAAGCGCTGCCAACTCCATGCACCATTGATCCATCAACCGTCGGAATTATTCTCCTCCGTTTCCGCCCCATACCCGTTTATGAGGTGGTCAATGGACATCATTGGACCATTGCACAAATCAACTCGAGGTGTACAGTACCTTTTAGTCCTTACGGACTACTTTTCAAAATGGATTGAAGCTGAGGCGTATGTCAGTATCAAGGATTCGGCGGTGCAGACCTTTATTTGGAAAAACATTATATGTCGACATGGAGTTCCGTACGAAATAGTCACTGATAATGGACCGCAATTCATTTCACACGAGTTTGATGCCTTTTGTGCGGACTGGGGAATCAAAGTTAGTTATTCTACTCCACGATATCCGCAAGGGAACGGACAAGCTGAAGCCGCGAACAAGACAATATTAAGCAATCTCAAGAAACGCTTAAGTCATCTAAAGGGAGGATGGTATGAAGAACTCCAACCCGTCCTATGGGCTTATCGTACAACCCCTAGGCGACCTACAGGAGAAACTCCATTCTCTTTAGTTTATGGCATGGAGGCGGTAGTACCAGCTGAACTCAATGTGCCCGGACTTCGTCGAAAAGAAGCACCGTTAAATGAGGAAGAAAATTCAGCAATGCTTAATGATTCACTGGATACCATAAATGAAAGGCGTGATCAAGCTCTAATTCGGATTCAGAAATTACCAGCAGGCAGCAGCCCGGTATTACAATTCTAAGGTTAAAAGTAGGCCGTTCTTCGTGGGAGATTATGTATTAAGGCGCGTCTTTGACAACAGAAAAGAAGAAGGTGCCGGTAAACTCGGTATTAATTGGGAAGGACCTTACATTATTACCGAGGTGGTTCGAAACGGCGTTTATAGGTTAAAAGACCTAGAAGACAATCCAGTCAAGCGACCTTGGAATGTGATCAACCTAAAAAAGTTTTATGTTTAAAGGCTACATGCATTGTTTATGTACATGAACTACGATTTGGCTTGATCCCGAAATGGGTACGTAGGCAGCTCGAAAACGAGTTCAGCTATTAATAAAATTTTTGTTTTATTTCTTTATTAAAGGAAGAAGGTTCGGCTATGCGAACATACAAGAGATTGGACATAAAGCGTTTATTCAAGAAAAAAAAAAAAAGGCGAAGTGTCCCTCATCGTACACTTTGAACTACGAAATCCTCGTTGACGAGCAGAACACTTCAATTCCTTGACCAGCAAGATCGAGGATTGACATCATGCAGTCCGGAATTCGAGCAAAGTCAGAGATTCCAAGCTCAATCCACTCTCCGGGGTGAGATTCAAGGATGTGAAGATTTCTTGACACCGTAGTAAGCCTGCGTTGCATCCGGTTAATCCTCTTCCGGAGCCTCCTCTTTTCCGACGTAAGCTTCCGGTGTTGAAGTTCAAGTGCCTCTATGAACGCCGTCGCTGTTCCTTGGTCTCTGATTGGGAGATCTCTGATCAAAGCACATGGGGCTCGGATCTGAGATCTCGAGAGGCCGCGAAGTGGGGGAGGCTGCCTGTTTGGCTCATTTGGAACATCTTCATTCATCATTCCGATTCTGGAGAAGTCGGGCATAGATTCTGAACAGTGTAGATTGAACTCCATGCCTGTTAAAATAAAAAAAAATGGTGAGGAGTAAAGGGGAATTGAACCTATAATTTATAGGAACCCCATATCCCTAGCAAGCTACGGATTCTATCCAAGGAATGGAATGATTCGCGGAACGATTTATGCCCTCGAACGGATCCTGCATTAAAAGACGCATCTCGAAGAATATTTGGAAAAGAAGGAAAGTAGCAAATATTTCCATAAATAAAAAGGGCCGAAGCCCATTACGAGTTTTTGTTTTTAAAAAAAAAAAAGAAGAAGTGAAGAAATTGGAGAACATTTATGGGAGAGGCTCAGGAACAGGCTCCTTCATCGCCGGTTTAGTCCTCGAAGTGGACGCCTTGTTTTTGGCATCCACTTCGGAACGATCCCGAAGGCGTTTCCGGCAGTCGCTGGCCTCCTCCTCCAAGTCCTCTTCCTCTTCATCGTCGGATGGAACGGCGAAGACGGGGGCGTTCACGGGACCCGGAACCCCCTTAGCACGGAGGTACATCCGAAGCATCCTCGGGATCTCAGCAACGGAGTCGAAATTCCGCCATTCGCACTGAAAGGGATCACTTTCCAAAGCCCTGATCTTCCTCTCCACCCGAGAAATACGAGCCTCGAGTGTCTGCCTTTTGAGGCCCAGCCGTTGCCTCTCTTCACACAAGCGACGGTGCTTGTCGGCAACCTAGCATAAAGATGAATGAATAAGATGAAACAAAGAGTTTTTAATCAAAAAACTTCAAATACTTACCCTGTCAATGAAGTCGCAAGCCTCTTTTTTCTCCTTTGAAGGAAAGTGAAAGACGGCATGAGGGAAGAGAACGCCGGCCGGTTCAAAGCCGTCGCCGGACAAGAAGAGTGGGCTGCCGGGATCAACGGGGGCTACTGTTTCGTTTTCCATTCTTAAAATATTTCTCAAGTAAGATTCTAAAGTCATGTTTAAATAAAGCTTAGAAGTAGGTAAGCCTTTATTTATAATGATTTAGGGTTTTTCTTGAAACCATAAACCCAATAATGGTAATGTGTCCGAGTGGTTTAAACCATTTTTGGAAATCGTGAAAAAGCACTTTTTGCATTAAAGACGAGCCGTTTTCCTTACTTATAAGAAGGGAAAGCGCAACCGCCGCATTAACTACAAAAGTTTCTATGGCCCAAGCCCAACAAATTTATCGAGTTGACTAAACCCGAAGTGGGGAACTCGCTTTAAGCCGAGCTCAGTTCTCGCATTCTAAAGAGAAAGGTCTGATCAGCCTAAAAATCTCGAAAGCATTGCCACAAGGCCACAAAAGGTTAAAAAGCGGACTTTGCAAACCCGCATATAATTTTAACCAAACCCCCTTGGGTCACAACCTAGAAAGGTTTAAAAGCCTCCTCAGGCAAATATCTTGTTCAAAAGAAAATAAAGCCTCCTTAGGCAAAAATAAATTCGAGATTAAGTCTTAAAATAAAAAGGGACAATCCCCAATTTAAAGTGGACACAGCCACTACGGAGCGATCTCCACCTCGGGCTCCTGTTCAGCAACCAGAGTTTCATTCACCTCCTTGACTGGTGCTTGATCAGATGAAGCTCCCTGACCACCCTCCGCGGGACAACCAACCTCCGGAGTAACCTCCGATACCACAGGAGCTACGGGCGGGACAATGCCCTCCGTCTCACTTGAACCTGGAAATAATAATTCCAGTCAATCAGAGGTACAAGGTAAGAAAAGGTAAGCCTTAGGAGCCAAGCGTTACCTGCCCAGTCTAAACCTGATTCACTTATTGGAGGTGATTCAGTAAAGAATGCCTCGAAGTCAAGCGGGTTGAAGGCCGAAGTGGGAAGAGCTGCCAAGCGACTCCGTTTTTCAGAAAGGTTAGTCGACAGCTCGGTCCTTTCTTGCTCTTCGGAGAAATCTGCTTCATGGATTTGATCCAGCAGAATCAGGTTACTTTCGTGCTCCTTGATGTCTGACTCCAAGTCCGACCTAGCCTTCTCAGTCTGCATGAATCGGATGGCCCCTTGGATCAACTCCATCCCGCGTCCCTTGACCTCTTTTCTGGCTTTTGATGCCGACCTCGCCAACTCGGAATCACGCAATTTGGCGATCGCCTTGTACTTTGCGTTGAGCTCGATGAGTTGATTGTTCAGGGAATCAGCGTTTGATTCGGACTCTTGAAGCCTACCTTGAATACCAGAAAACTCTTCCTGGAGCTTGAAGTTCTGGTCGTACTGACCCTGCAGCTCCCCCTTTACCTGCGCAAGCTCAGATGTTAAATTGTCGACTTTGTCCTCCAGCTCGTGCTTGGAGCCGGCAGAAGAACTGAGTTCGGCCTCAAGGGCGGAGAGTTTCTTTGTCCACATGTCAATCTCCTTCTCCCGGCCAATGACCAACCCTTCGTAATGTTCGACCATGTCGTTAAATTCGCTTTGAGCCTGGCGTTATACATGAACCCGGGATGACGAGTCAGATTCGCAGAATGGCAATACAATAAAAAATATATACTTAAAAGAAAGCGAAACTAACCCGAGATGAGTGATGTGCGTGAAGCAAATAACGTTCACGAATCGCAGGGCGCCATTTGTCAAAGTCTGGCAAGATCGAACCCGATCGGGTCTTGAAGCATCGGAAGACGCTGCCCTCTTTCTCCATAGCTGTGAAGAAGGAAGAATTGTAAAAATTGGAATTTTAATAAAGACAAAAGTTTAAGTGTGTGTAAATCACCAAACCTGAAAGTGATTTGACTTGAGGTACAAGAGCAGGCTTCAGCCTCGAGGGAGCATCTCGAGATTCAGAATCTCCCTTTTTCGGAGACGCACTCCGGGCGGTCTTCCCACTATCAGGCTGGGAAGAGGAGGACATATCAACCGGTCGCGGAGGACCCATTGGTTCAGAAGGAGGGGATGACCGAGGTGAGCGGTCAGTCCGGGCCCTTGACTTTTCCCTCTGCGGGGAAGGATCACTGCGAGAGGACTTGTCTCTCTTTCGGCGAACCAAGTTCTTGATTGGCTCGTTACTAAAATCATCTCGGGAAGGACGAGGTGAATCACGGCGAGGAGATCGATCCCTCCGAGGAGAACGTGAGTCGCGACGGTCGCGACGGGGAGTTAATCTGAAGGAAGCGACAGATCGGGCTCCCTCGGTACTGCCATCATCGACCAGCAAGGTCCTACTATAGTCCTTCTTGTCTATGGAAGTCGTGAGAAACTTTTTCTTCTCCTCGCAAGCCTCAGCCATCGGCTTGGAAAGCAACTTACGTTTGGCCGCAAGGGCCCGAGATGACATTCCCTGAGTTGAGGGAGGGGGAGGAATTTGGTGAAGATGACCAGGCGGACTCATCCTGAGTCTGTGGTTAGCCTCTATGAATCGTTCGAGAGTGAAGGAATTCCAAAGGGTTTCCCCTTCAAGAATTATTTTGAAGAATTCGATGAACTCTTCAGATGGGAGATTGGAAGCGATGAAAGCTGCGAAATGAAACAACGGTGTTAGTTAATAAAAATAAAGAAACAACCGGGAAAGATACGGGCAACCTAATCTCTACCGGGTTTCGCCGACCACTTCGAAGGGAGGAAATCTGCAAGATTTCCAATCGAAGCGGGAGTTTTCTTAATTAAGAACCAAGGATGATGCCAATTTTCATCCTTGTTTGGAAGATGCGAAATGATGTTCCTGTTGGCGTTAGGATATGCTGAGAAATACCCCGTTTTCTTCGATGAGCTTCTCACGCTTAGAAGCTCATTTAGTTCGGCGACTCCGATAACGTAACCGGCCTCCGCCGCGATTGTTATAATGCCGAGAATAGTACGAAGAAGATTGGGGGTTAATTGAGGAAGAGCGATTTCAAGAGCCGCTAGGTATAAAATTAGGGCTTCGGGAAGAGGAAAGGTCAGCCCGCAACCCTTGAAATAAATCTCATACACACAGAAGTAACCATCGCGATGGTTCTCTGGAGATTCTGTGGGGGAAGCTATTTGAGCTTCCGCCATAATTTCCGGCGGAATCCGGCAAAGCTCTCTCAATCGCTCGAGGGATTGAAGAGTACAAGTGGACCTAAAGTGCGGACCGGCAATATCACCAGGGCAGGTGCACTCGTCGTTACTAGAACGCCTCTCGTCGAAAGACGGAGACTCGGGTCTATCGGAGTCGGAAGTCATTGGGAAGAAAGAGAAATTCAAGATCCGGCGAAGAAGGGTTTTGGTGAAGGAACGAAGAGAGAGGTTTTGATTAAAGTACAAAAGTAAAAGAAGAGAGTAATGGTGAAAAGAAGTTACCTCAAGCTAATGATGAAACCGCCTCGGAAGTCGTGTGGGAAGTGGGAAGGTTTTTCCTGTTTTAATAGTAATTAATCAATATACGGTCATAATGATGACAAATGTCACTCGGTTAAAAATGGCTAGTGCCGAAATTAAAGGAGTGATGAGATTTTCGGCGGGAAATCAGAAAGATTTTCGAGCGCAATCTTTGGCCACTTGAGCATTTAAAGTCCTCCGAATTGGAATAGCACTTCGAAGAACTTGGGGGGCTAATTGTTGGTGTCGGATCCCGCACCAGAAGTACGAGACCAACCAAAGATTGCCACGTAATCAAGATAATGGCCCATAAAGGATGAAGCCCATTGGACCCGTGAGCTGAAGGGATGGTCGAAGTGGTTGTCACCATTTCGAGAATCCGAAGTGACTGCACTGTGACACGAGTTCGGTGTGGAAGACACGGGAAAGTCGGTTCAAGGACACTTGGGCCAAAAGAGGCGAGGCCCATGAAGATCAGAGTCAACTCAAATTCAAACGTTGAGCATTAAAGCCAAAGAATCAAAACGAACACATTTAAGAAGAAATAATTGTACTTAATTGCTCATTTTAATGTCGTTTATCTATGTATAAATATAGAGGCCAATGGTCATGTAAAAGGGGATCCTCCTCTCAAGAGAGAAATACTATAGCAATTTTCGTATCAATTTACAAGTTCTTACGTATTCATTTTTGTCCCTCAAGAATAGTCTTTCCCACTTAACAAAATACTTGAGTGTGTGAATCCGACATCCACAAATGCTGGTGAATTCACATCCCAAGCATTCAATGATTATTGTATGGTAATAGGAATTGAAGTTGAACATCCTGTAGCTCATGTTCATACAAAAAATGGCTTGGAAGAATCATTAATTAAACGTCTGCAATTGATTGCAAGACCATTGATAATGAGATCAAAACTTCTAACCTCTGTATGGGGACATGTCATTTTGCATGGAGAAGAACTCATTCGGATAAGACCAAGTACATACCACAAATACTCCCCACTACAATTAGCATTTGGTCGAGAACCAAATATATTTCATCTAAGAATTTTTGGTTATGCGGTGTATGTGCCTATAGCACCACCACAACGTACAAAAATGGGACCACAAAGAAGGTTGAGAATATATATTGGCTGTGATTCTCCATCAATTATAAGATACCTTGAACCGCAGACTGGTGATGTCTTTACGGCACGATTTACCGATTATCACTTTGATGAGAAAGTATTCCCGGTTCTAGGGGGAGAAAATAATCAAGTAGGAAAAGAAATTAAATGGTGTGTATCATCCCTGTTACACCTTGATCCTCCTACAAAACAGTCAAAAATAGAAGTTCGACGAATAGTGCATTTGCAAAGTATAGCAAATCAACTTCCCGATGCTTTTGCAGATACCAAAACGGTAACTAAATCATATCTACCAGCTGCAAATGTTCCTGCTCGAATTGAAATACCACAAGAACGTGGAGGAGCAGATGATACACGTGAGTCTAAAATACGTTTGAAACGTGGTAGACCAGTTGGTGCTAAGGATAAAAATCCTAGAAAACGAAAGGAAGTTGAAAAGCATGATATTCCCAAAATAGCATAAAGCATTTTGGAAAAAAACGAATCATGAGTCTAATGACAATGATGAGCATCATGAGCCTGAAGGAAATCAATCATGAGATTTCTATCAACTATATCCATAATGGAAAGATCTGGGATCGAAATAAAATGGATGATGTTAATGACGTTTTCTCATAGCTTTAGTCAAAGGAAATTGATGAGGAAAACGAGGATCCAGAACCAAAGTCTGTATATGAATATCAAAAGAGACATGACTGGATAAAATGGAAAGATGCAATACAAGCCGAACTTGATTCGCTCAATAAGCGAAATGTATTCGGACCTATTGTACTCACACCTGAAGATGTGAGACCGGTTGGATACAAATGGGTTTTCGTTAGAAAACGAAATGAGGAAAATGAAATTACGAGATACAAGGCTCGTCTCGTAGCTCAAAGATTTTCCCAAAGACTCGGGATTAATTATGAGGAAACCTATTCCCCCGTTATGGATCCTATAACGTTTAGATTTTTGATGAGTCTAGCAGCTGGCGAAAATCTAGAGATGCGTCTCATGGATATCGTTACAGCATATTTATATGGATCATTAGACACAGATGTCCAACCAATTGGGAGAGAATCAATAGATTCCTTTTCGGGAGCGATTCAATATGAAAATTCCCGATGGGTTTAATATGCCAGAAGCATTAAAATCTAAACCCAAAGAGTTGTGTGCAATAAAGTTGCAGAGATCATTATATGGGTTAAAGCAATCTGGACGAATGTGGTATAATCGTCTCAGTGAACATTTAACGAAAGAATGATATGTGAATGATCCTATATGCCCATGTGTTTTCATAAAGAAAACACATTCCGGATTTGTGATAATTGCGGTATATGTTGATGATCTAAACATAATCAGGACTCAAGCAGAAATACAGAAAGCAACAAACTATTTAAAAGGGGAATTTGAGATGAAAGATCTCGGACAGACAAAATTTTGTCTTGGCCTACAATTTGAACATACTCAAATGGGTATATTTGTACATCAATCCACATACACCAAAAGAGTGTTAAAACGTTTTAATATGGATAAGGCAACTCCTCTCAGTACTCCAATGGTCGTTAGATCACTTAATGTTAAGAGTGATCCATTCAGACCACCTGAAGAGAATGAAGAGATACTTGGTCCTGAAGTACCGTATCTAAGTGCAATTGGAGCCCTTATGTATCTTGCAAATTGTACTCGATTTGATATATCATTTTCGGTCAATCTTTTGGCTAGATTTAGTTCATCCTTTACACGAAGACATTGGAATGGCATAAACATGTCTTTCGTTATTTTCAAGGGACTATTGATTTAGGCTTATTTTATCTTAAAAATATAAATGGTCAAATGATTGGTTTTGCAGATGCAGGATATTTATCAGATCCACACAAAGCTCGATCACAAACAAGATACATATTCACAATTGGAGGTACTGCTATATCATGGCGTTCTCAGAAGCAGACGCTTGTAGATACTTCTTCAAATCATGCTGAAATCATCGCACTCCATGAAGCGAATAGAGAATGCGTATGATTACGATCAATAAGTTGACACATTCAAACAAGTAGTGGAATTTGTCTGAATACGGAGCCAACTATCTTATATGAAGACAATGCTGCATGTGTTGCTCAGACAAAGGAAGGATATATCAAAAGCGATAGAACCAAACATATCCCTCCGAAGTTCTTTTCATACACCCAAGAGATTGTGAAGAATGAAGACATTGAAGTAAGATATGTCCGATCATCCGAGAATTCTGCGGATCTTTTCACAAAATCATTACCCACCTCTATGTTCAGGAAACATGTTCATAGCATTGGACTGCGTCGTCAATAAGATTTATAAGTTATGATCCTGATCATTCGAGGGGGAGCTTGCACGGTTGCACTCTTTTTACCTACTATAGTTTTTCCCACCGGGTTTTCCTAGAAAGGTTTTTAACGAGGCAACAGAAGATATTACGCAAGAGACATAGTGACACTGGTCTCGAAGAGGGAGTGTTACAAAAGTCACAAAAACATAAGTCAATAATATCAAGCGTCAACAATAGACACTACACGTAAAAATTATTACGAGTAAAATATAATTTGTGTGGAGCCCACTGTCACTATGCACGCATAGTAATTTACTTTTTTACGTTTATATAAACGAACGAAATCGTTCGTTGTAAAATCACAATTCATATTTCAATAATAAGAAGTTATAAGAAATCTCTCTCCTTCTCTCATTTCTTTATTTTCAATATATCAATCTTTGTACGAGTATAAATTCTTTCTTCATTATTTATATTTATATACACCATAAATAATAAATAAAGTAATTATTTATAACAAGTTTATGTTTTGAGGTTTTTTTTTTTTATTTTTTAATATTTGAGGTTTGTTTTGCAGTCTTTTCCAAGGTTCATCTTGTATTTTTATTTTTTATTTTAGGTTGTTTTTCTTTTTTGTTTTTGGGTCACAGACCGATTTTTTTCTCTTCTAGGTTACCTTCCTCCGATTAGTTGTATCGACAAGAAAAAAGAATGAACAAACTCTCCAACGCTTTCTCTCTGCTAGCTTTCGCCGATGAAGATGCTCCAATGGCTTCTTCTTCTTCTTCCACTGGTATCTCCTGTTTCCCTCTTCCGATTTGATTATACACAAAACAAGTTTAGATTTTTGATATATTTAATAGCATTGACTAAACTAATCATCGATTTAGAGAGTTAAAGAGTCAATTAAAGTATTGACCTTTAAAGTTTAGGTCTTTTTGCTTATGGCTACAAGATTTGTTATCTTGAGATCGATTCTTGTGAAATTTATAGGGAAACAAGAAGAAAGAGTAAATGGGTCACTTGAGGATGGAGATTACAAGCAACCACTTGTTTGGATTGACTTGGAAATGACTGGTATGTTCATCATGACCTATAAAAATCACTGCTAATTACAAACTTTTAGATTGGATTTTTGGTAGATTAGTTTAGTGTTCTCAATGAGCCAACTTTATGCTTTAGTTGCAAAAGGATCTGATTTGATTTGTGTCATAACAATGATATGATATTTGTTCCTTTGAAGGTAATCCTGATTGGTTTTATTACTTTACACATGTACTAAACTGTGGAACACAGTAAAAGGATCTCGGTCCTTAAAGTTTTTTTTAGATCATCCATTTTCTTATTCTTACTATATTGTGTAGGTCTAAATGTTGAAGTTGACAGGATATTGGAGATTGCTTGTATAATTACTGATGGAAATTTAACCAAATCAGTGGAGGTGAATTCTTCTCCTGCTTACCTTCTACAATATTCTATTTTTAACCTTGTTTACTGTACTCAAATGTTGAAATTCTTTTTCAGTCAAATGGTAGTTTCATAGTCAATAAGATATAATGTCTAGAAACTTGCTAAGAGAAAGGTAAATTTTGATCAATGGAATATTGTTGTGACTATGAGAGATCAGATGGCAAAAAGAGATCAGAAAGTTCTTGTATGAATGTCGAACTAAGTATTTAATTGTGGATATAATACTGTTTTCAGGGGACTCTTCACCCTCTTTTAGATGAAACATTTGCTCCATCACCATACCTGCCTTATTCGGATTTGTTATTGAGTTAGTTTCTCTGTTGTCAGGGTCCAGATTTGGTTGTACATCAAACGAAAGACTGTTTGGATAAAATGGGTGAATGGTGTCAAACTCATCATGGAGATAGTGGTAAGTTTTTCTCCTGATATTTGTTTTACTAGAATTTCGTTGTTTCCCCATGGATTTGATCTATATGACATCTCGACAATATCTTTAGGGTTGACAAAGAAAGTGCGCCTTAGTACGATAAGTGAAAGGGAAGCTGAGCAAAAGGTAAAGATACATGTGAACATTTGATCTTTTGTAAATTTGGGGTTATATTGTGTGTTACTCTGCAGGTCATTGAATTCGTAAGGAAGCATGTTGGTTCTGAAAATCCACTTCTAGCTGGAAACTCAGTCTATGTTGATTTCCTTTTCTTAAAGGTATTATCACTCTCTGTATATAAAGCTAAACAGTTGCATCTTGATCATAACCAATCTGTGTATTTTTACAGAAGTACATGCCAGAATTAGCTGCCCTTTTCCCTCATATACTTGTCGACGTCAGTAGCGTCAAGGCTCTATGCTCCCGATGGTTCCCCATAGGTAACGAAAAATACTCTAAAAGTGCATGACATTAATGAGAAAAATACATAATAAGCTAATTAGGATATGTTTGTGGGGGTGAATACAGAGAAAAGGAGAGCTCCTGCAAAGAAAAACAACCACAGAGCCATGGATGATATAAGAGAAAGCATAAAGGAACTTAAGTACTACAAGAAAACAATATTCAAAGCAAGGAAATGAGTGGAGTTAGGTCCTGCAATATGCTTACTTATTAGTAGTTAGAAGGATCCGTTTTAGTTTTCGGAAATCGGCATTGTTATTCTCTTGGCGATTGTATTCTCAAAACCCAAATTGAGTTGGTCTCTTGATAAAACAATACAAATGGTCTTCAGTTATTTTAAGGACCTGGTAAATATCGTTTCTTTGGTAATGAAGAAAAAAATGTTCATTGATCTATTGCCATGGTTAAATTGATCAATTTAGAAGTTAGTAGAGAATTTGTAAATAAATTCAAAATCTAGGGACTAAAGTGTAAAACCGAGAGAAACCTGAGAAGGTCGAGTTCATCTCTTCCGATATTGTAGGGATCGTTTTTGATCAGCACATTTTTTCGATATTTTCAACCCTAATATATATAGCCCCAATAATACTCAGTTTCTCTATCAAATTTTGAGACTTTTGGTGAATTTTTATAAACCTTTTTTATTTTTTTTGCTCCTCTTCAGAATTTTTGTAACTTTTTAGGCAACTCATTATCGGAATTTTCACTTGTTTAGGCTTTGACGTTCTCCTCTGTTATTATTAGCTCTATATCACTGATTAGGTAAGCTTCATCTTTTTTTTTTTTTTTTTTTTTTTGTTCTCCATGAAAGTGAGCTTTAACGTTTTTAATGGTTTGTTTTTATTTTTAGGGAGATTTATGGGTTGATCTATAACTTGAGAATCCTCTCGATCATACAAATACAACGCCGTTGATCGCTCGGAATTGGCTCGGTAAATTTTCGGATCCTAACGTTTCATAGTTAAAAATCTGGATTTTTGTAAACCGGTTCTTGAGGTTTTGAGATTGGGTTTTGGACTGGTTTGACTGAGGCTAGCAAGCTAGTGAAAATTGGGTTTTATATTGTTTACGTGCCATTTCTAAACCAACTACAATTTGGGCAGGTACAATCAGTTTTAAACCGGTTTTGGCAAAACTATTACAAGATTCGGATTTCTTTCGTCTAAACCTTTCAAATCATTTTTACTAAACATTTTTTTTTAAATCAATGGTTAATTTTAGGTGAATTAATTGATGTTCGAAGACGTCTATAATCATTTCCTATGTAAGTTCTTACTCTCTTAATAGTTATTAAACATTGATAGAGCATGTAAGGAATCTATAAAGATAAATTGAACAATTAACTAAATTAATTTGGACTAACATATTAAGGATAATCTATCTTGTATAATTCTTGCAAAATGAAACTGCTCGATATGTTTATATGGTCAGTCAAAACTAATATTTTTTAATGTTTAGCGTAGAGGAGAAAAGTTTATATACTTTATGTTTCTAACTCTCAGAAAAACTCATATGTCAACTTGTTCGATTGATAGATACCACGACTGCCCGCGACTTGCAAACCTTCTCCAACGTTGGTTTACGTCAGGTTCAATACTTTTTTTTTTTAAAATCCTTTTCTTGTTGATCATTAAATTTAACATTGAAAAAAAAAAAAAAACTTATATGTCATCTTGAAAGTAAATTCATCCTTAGAGTAAAATGGTTTCTCCACTTTTTCCATGAACCAACTATAAAATAATATAGATTGCTTTCAATTAAAAAGATTATGATAATTTTGTTAGGATTTGTTTTGGACTTATAGCTTGCAGTTTAGCAAGTTTTATTTATTTCCTTATTAATTAAACATGCTCAAATAGCTAAAACGTAAAAATAATAATAAATAAAGCCACATGAGAGAGTTTTTAACTAATAATTTCTTTGAATGCCAAGAAAACTCTAGTGACTGTAAAACGCTAAAATATACACTTTTTTTAGAGAAAATTTAACTGCTAAAAAAGAGATACAGAAAGATTAATCACAAATATGTGTTTAAATCTCCTCCTAAATCTCTTTTTGATTATAGTGTTTATCATTCTCTCAATATGATTTTTGCTGATCTTCTTGGAAAAATCTTGTATTTTCTTTTTAAGTTACTTTTTTTTTCTCTCTTGTTAATGTAAAAATAGTTTGTTCTTCCTTTAAACTTCTCAAATCCGATTCTTTTTTTTTTTTTTTTTTTTCTTTTTATCATTGAGTACGATTTAATTTCTCCATTTTCTTGCAATCACTAGGGATTATTGATTCCATGTTAGAATAAGAAACCTCAGTTTCTACGAGTATTTAATAAGTTATATTCTATATGAATTAATGAACTGTTGCACGAAAGGAGTTTATCTTCTATATTTTTTTTTAATTCCGAAATTATATAGGTTAATTTGTTAGCCAGAGAGAAACTCTTATATATACATATAATCATCATCTTATTTAATTACAGATGAAGCAAACACAAGATGGGGAAAGTTCGCCACGATTCAGGATCAGACGATGAAACTTCAATAGATAAATCTTTTACTAAAGGTCCTTGGACACAAGCAGAGGACAACCTTTTGATAGCTTATGTTGATAAACATGGTGATGGAAACTGGAACGCTGTTCAAAAACATTCAGGCCTTTCTCGTTGTGGTAAAAGTTGTCGCCTTCGTTGGGTGAATCATCTGAGACCGGATTTGAAAAAAGGCGCTTTTACAGAGAAAGAAGAGAAACGTGTTATCGAACTTCATGCTTTGTTAGGAAACAAATGGGCACGAATGGCTGCAGAAGTATAACTCACGTTTCCTTCTTTAACCCTAATCTTGATTTTTTTCGTGTTCTAATCTTTTTTTGTTTCTTTCAGCTGCCGGGACGAACAGATAATGAGATCAAGAACTTTTGGAATACAAGACTTAAGAGATTACAACGACTTGGTTTACCGGTTTACCCCGATGAAGTTCGAGAGCAAGCGATGAATGCAGCGACACAATCTGGTCTAAACACTGATTCTTTGGATGGTCATCATAGTCAAGACTCTTTGGAGGCAGATTGTGTTGAGATCCCTGAATTGGATTTCCAGCATTTACCGCTTAATCAATGTTCTTCATACTACCAGTCGATGCTTCGCAATGTTCCTCCCACTGGCGTCTTTGTGAGACAAAGACCGTATTTCTTTCAGCCGAATATGTATAACTTGATAACAACACCTCCTTACATGTCTACCGGCAAACGTTCTAGAGAACCAGAAACCGCATTTCCGGGTGGATATGGAATGAACGAGCAAAGCCCTCCGCTTTGGAACTATCCTTTTGTTGAGAACATTTCAGAACAGTTACCGGATAGTCATTTGTTTGGCAATGCTACTTATTCTTCTTCTCCTGAACCTCTTATTCAAGGGGTGGAGAAGTTGGAGCTCCCTTCTTTCCAATATCTTGAAGAGCCTGGCGGTTGGGGAGCAGAACAATCTGACCAAATGCCGGAACATCATGAGTCAGATAACACTTTGGTCCAATCTCCTCTGACAGATCATACACCATCAGATTGTCCATCATCACTCTATGATGGATTGTTGGAATCAGTTGTATATGGATCATCAGGTGAAAAACCGGCAACCGATACCGACTCAGAGTCTTCACTTTTTCAGTCCTCTCTACTTGGTCACACCGAGTTTACACCAGCCAATGAAAACAGAACAGGTAAACTTTTTTGTTACTCTTGATGCATTACTTGCACTTCATTGTTTGTGTATTCAATTCAACAAGTCTCCTCTTCTCCATCTGCATGACAAACCTTTAATTGTGTAACAGATTTAGGTTCAACTTCTTCAAATGAGGGACGCATATCCTTTGATGGTGATTGGATAAGCCTACTTCTCGGTGAGGATAGATATAGCACCAAGTAGAAGAGGTTTCTTTGGAAGGCATAATTTATAAAGTGCTGATATCTCTCGTTTGCATAATTAATTTCTTATTATGCGTTGAGTAGATTAGTCATGTCTTTAGATATATCAGTACTCTAGCTACCAAAAATAACTAGCAAATAGGTTTTTTTTTTATAAGCAACGCATCATTGTAGTCGCGGGATTTTATAAGTAAGTATACTCAACTAATGAGATGGTGAAATAATGTAAGAGTTTATGTATTATGCACAACTGGTGCATGAAAGACTATTGCTTGAGGTTTGGCGACGATGTTGACTCGGGAAACTAAGAGCCAGAACAGCAAAATGGAAGGTGTGTATCAAAAGATGGATGTGCATATGCAAGAGGAACTTTTGTTTACACAATCAATCTTCATGTCATCCGCTGAAGAAATCTATAGACGCAATTAGTATATGAATAGAGGAAGGGATTTTGCTATTTATCTTTATGCTTTTATCTTGTTGTGATCAAGCAAACATCATCCTCAGCTATACTTATGAGTTTTCATTTATTGTCTACATCAGATTAGTTTACTGTTTCTCTTGTTCTCATATGAATATGTTTCTGAATACAAGATCTAATTATGGAGCTTTAGTGTAACTATGTTCTACTGATTCCATTTTTTCAATTAACACAGTTATTGTGCTCAAATTGCTATCAATAATTCTTAATCACACCAGAAAGAAGTTTCCACAAGATAATGCTGATCAAATGTCATGAGAAATTGCTAGAATAAGCGAAAATACGGGATTTCATATTTATTGTATGGGTATGAGTTTACGGTGAGAACTATATATTTATATGGTGAGTTTGAGTTTCCGACTGGTAACTTTTTTTGTTGTATAAATTAAAGTATGTTATTAAAATTAAATTAAATTAATTTTTTTGAATAATAATGATATTTATTACAAATTTATTAATAAAATAATAGAAAATTACCAACTTAAAGATAGTTAACTTGAGGTTTAAAAAAGAAAAAGAAAAAGATATTTAACTTAAAAAAAAACTATTTTCTAATATAATGCTGGGCCATTGCATAACGTATTTATAATCTTAACATCTGTACCTCCGCAGCTAGTCAGTTCATTAGGCTAGAAGGAAGAATGTTGATCCGTGGACTCGTTGAATGTCTATAAGCCTCTTGTTTTTCTTTTTTTTTTTCTTTAAGTAGTTGTAGATTAGGTTAATTGTTGTTAGGTAGCTAGAAGTAAGAAGGTGCAGAAATATTGCTTGTTCGGTGTAGTGGCGGACCCAGAAATAAATTTTACCCGGGTCAATATTTTTTTAAAACAAATATTTTCATAAGCAAATGAAAAAAGAGTATATAAACCGCTGTTATTTTTTAATTTTTAAAGTATATAAGACAAAGAAACATGCATTTAAGTTGAAATAGAAAAAAAAAGAGTAAATATGTCATCTGGGATGCTTGAACCCGGGTCAATTGTTAATTGTTGCTAGGTAGGTAGAAGTAAGAAGGTGCAGAAATATTGTTTGTTCGGTCTTCGATGTATGGGCATGGATAAAGTAGCCATATCGATATCATAGCTCGTTAACGACTGACGAGGCTGAGGTAAGAAGAAAGACGCGAATAGAGCAGTTGTTTGTGGTTGAGATGACTGAGCGATGTGGTGTGATGCTTGTAGAATATTGTAGAGTAGCGATTCAAGATGACGTGTGATGCTAGGTTGTTAGATTACCTAATTGTATGTATATCTAAGCTATGACTATGAGTGTGGAGCGTATGAGATGGTAAGACATATGATTGTCTATTGCTGCTGACGGAAACAATACACCGTAGAACATGAGGAGTAAGGTCAACTCTTCAACCCAAAGTTATAAGGTTCCTGGTACGAATTTCTTGTTGGCCAAACACTTTAAAGTATATTGTAATTAAGTGGGGGAGAAGTAGCAGCCCATGTTGCAGGCATATGCGTTCGGGTATTCGGTTAACAAGACTTGGCGGTGATGGTTTGTAGAAGATAAAGATGGATATATGGCTTCACAAACTGGCGATCGTTCTCTTTTGTGAAGGATTGATGATCGATAATTTAAAAATGCAAACACAACAAGAAAACAAAACAAATCAAAGATAGAAGGGTTGTTGCGGCGTCTGTGTTGATCCACAGCAGGTGGGTGTCAGTCGACACCGCTTGTGTGTCGAGGTGACGATCGACACCAAGTGAGTGTCGGTCGATACTAGGTCCGGCTAGTCAGCTTCCTGAAATTGCCTGGTTTGATTTGTTGATTGGTTATTGCTTTGTGTCTTGATTTTTCTATCTTTCTTGTGTGTATAGCTTGTTGATGGGATGATCCCTTCCACTAGATATTTGTGATAATACTTACGCATCTCTTTAATTATTGTGCAGGTAAAGATAAGATGTGACGTAAAATCATTGCAAGGAAGGCAGGATGATCTAAGAACTCGTTGTGGTTGTATCTTTTATGTTATATTATTGGAACCTTGTTCAAAACTGTTAGGATTGCTGATTATTTCTAGTTATATTAGATTATTTAATCTTGATAATTGGAGTTGTTGGTTGGTTATTGTTTGGTTTATTGGTGGATTTAGTTAAGTATTTGTGGAATTATTTAATTCTGATGTTTTTCAAAAAAAAAAAGAATGAGTCGGGTTGTCACACAAAAGAATATTTAGCTTTTATTTTTTGTTTAGTTTCGTGACAAACCCCACAACCAAACACCCTCTTTTGATTTGTCTTAGACATATCCCTCTCCATTGAATTCGTAGTACTTATAAGTCTCAGTGGGATTGATCCTTAAATACTACATCCGATTAATTGTGCACTTGCAGTATTCCGTGTAGTTTCTAAGGGAAAATTTTGAGGCGAAATAATACATGCATCAGCCAGTTCTAGCAAAAAGATGGGGGAGACATCACCGGAAGAGGTGAAATAATTTAACAGGAAACTACCACTCAACACCAAACTACAAAGACGACCGCCACCAAACACCTTCGATTAAGATAATTCGAAGACCCAACTGTGAAACTAATTGTTAAGTGATATTTTTAAGATATTTTATAGGTTTATTTTATATGTTTATCGAGTCTTTTATTCGGGAACAAGTCGTTCTCGATAAAAATAATTGTTTTTAGGAATTTGGACATTCAAAACAAAAGTAAGCATATTGAAGACTAAATGAGCCGAAAATCATCAAAAGAAAAGAAGATCCATTAGGAGGCATGTTTGATGGAGTTTTGCACCAACCAGTGGAGAAACACGTGGGCCACCGATCGATTGAACATGTCCACCGATCAGTGGGCTTTTATTTAAACCGCCTCTTTCTCTCTTCTAGGGTTGCGTCCCAATTTCTATATATACTCTTGTATTATGTAGCTGCAGAGATATGCTTTACTTTTACAATTTTATAGTTCTAAAGTGTTCTTCTCTTCCTAAAATCTTTTCTTTATTGTTTATGCTTTAGAATTTAGATTTCTTTGGTAGATCTCCTTTAGAACTCGTGATCTCTCTTCTACAATGATCACACATATCTTGGTCGTGTGTGAGTAGTCTTATCATGGAATTTTACCGATCGGTATAGCACCTCACTGATCGGTACCGATCGACTTGCTTTTTTATCGATCGATTGGAATCCCCAAAGAGATCGATTGCATGTTAGACCTAAGTGAATTTCTCTGTTATGATCTTTAATTGTCCTCTATCTTTAGTTGTTCTTAAAGCCTTAGATGAATTAGGCCAATTCACCTGTTGTCCATGATCTAATTCCTCAAGCCTAACCATGGTGTTGAATTTGATAGATCTACTATTAGATAGGCAAACCATCTTTGACTAACCTAACCAAAAGTTGTAGATCATAGGGTTTTGTGAATTTATTGGATTCTATTCTTAATGCGTGATTGGATTACTTGGAACCAAGCTTAACCAAGGTTTAGGAAGCCATGTATTCCCTTCATAGGAGTTATCACTAATACACCCCTAAGGTAATTTAAATTAGAAGTTTGATTTCAAAAATAGTTTAGAATCATAATCGAACTTATATGTCTTTCATATATTCTCTGTTGAATTCTCTGAAACTCTATTTTTTATATTATTATATATATTATAGTATTTTATTATTTATTTATTTTAATTATTTATTTGACTTCTGCAAAAACACTCTAAGTTCTTGTAATTCTCTGTTGTCCTAGCTAAGTTTAAATTCTTTGCAAATCTTTTGTGTGGTTCTTTTGTCTCTGTGGATATGATCTCTAAGAGTTTGATTGGTTCTTCCGCTAGCACCCGCCTAGCGGTTGTTAGCGGTCGGTTGCGGTTGTTAGCTGTTGGTATCAATCATAGAAACCGCTCCATACCGCTTTGAACTACTCGAAATTGCTAGATTTCAAAAGCTCCTTCCCGCAAGCGTTTTTGGTTGCGGGCGGTTGCGATTGGTTTTAAAAAAGAAAGAAACTGAAAAAGGAAAATAAACAAATTAAAATATATATGATCAAGTCTTATATATATTCACGTTAATTCTAAAATTTTTTTTTATCTAACTTTAACTTTCCAATATTATAGTTATTTTTGTTTTCAATATAAAATTTATTTTAAGAATTATTTATGGTTTTCAATCATTAATTATCTTAAAAAATTTATACTTTTTTATAATTATAGTTTTTGGTGTTTTATACTTTTTTATAATCATATAATAAATTAATTTTGGTAAATTTTGGTTTAACCGCTATCGTACCCGCTGATCAACCAGTCGTAAATCTCCCGCAAACGTACCCATTTTCAACCGCTAAACCAGTTGGTCAAAACACTAAATAAGGCTTGAAACTGCAACCGCCCGCTTCTGCAAACTCCCACAGCCGCAACCGCAACCGTTGCGTTTAAACCAGTCAAACCCTAAGTATTACTATGTTTGCATGTGCACTTGCGGTTATTATTATGGGTAAAATTTTTATAGGAAAAATTTACTCGTAACAAGTTTTTGGCACCTCTGCTTGGGACCAATTAGCAAGCGCCACTAGATTAATTTAGATTTGAATTTAGTCTTTGATCTTTATTATTTTATATATTATTAACTAATTAAAAATCTTCTCTTCTTTCAGGTGAATGCAAACAAAGCGAAAAGAAAATTCCGATTTGCTAAACCCTGCAAACCCTGAGCTAGCTAGTTACGAGAGAGATGGCAACAAATCAAGGAGAAGCAGAAAAAAGCGCAAAACAACTAGATGGCTGACTTTCAATGAGCTCTTGCTGCA